AAGGACTCCAGGATAGGAGTAATGTGAACACTTGTACTAGACCTGGTCAGGATTCTGGCTGCTGAATTTTGGACATACTGCAGTTTGTTCAGAGTAGATTTAGATATCTCTGTGAGTAGGGCATTACAGTAGTCAATTCGAGAGAACACAAATGTGTTGATCAGCTTTTCAGCCACAGATAGTGATAGCATAGGGCATGTGATCTTAAAAGCTGACCAAGTAGAAACATGTAAATGCTGAAGAGCAGGGGGCCCAGTATTGAGCCCTGAGGAATACCAGACTTCACAAGACCAATTTCAGACCTGTACCCATTAAGAGATGCAAAGTGACAGCGATCAGTGAGGTAAGATTTGAACCATTTGAGAGCAGTGTCAGAAACTCCAAACACAGTCTCAAGACGAGAAAGTAAGATATTATGGTCAACAGTGTCAAAAGCAGCACTGAGATCCAGAAGGATGAGTATAGAAAGAGAACCAGAATCAGAAGCTATTAGAAGATCATTAGTGACTTTGATCAGGGCAGTTTCTGTGCTGTGAAGTTGACAGAAGCCAGATTGGAGGGGTTCAAAAAGGTTATTTGTCATGAGGTGGTTATGTAACTGAAGTGTGACAGCACGTATTTTGGGTTCTGCCCTGCGCTTGAGCTTCCCTACCTTCAGTATTTTCGATTCCGTACTTGTGTGTTTTGGACTTTGCATGTTCTCTCGACCACCCCTTTCGGATCACGGCTGTTTAGATAACCATTTGTGTTTTGGAGCTTGGCTCTCGTTACTTTATTAAGATATCTTTTACCTTTTGGACTTCAGACGTACCGGGTTTGATCTTGTTATTCCAACTCGGTAGGTACCTTCACTACTGGACTCCCTCAGGAACCTTGCTCCACGTATAGGATCCTTTCCTTAATACAGTATACCGTAACACCACCTGTGCCTCATATTTGTAACTTCTTTAACTGGTGCTTTTATTAAAAGTGAATTATGTTTGTTCCAATTTAAGGTATTGTATTGGAACAAGTCGAGATCTAGATTGGTCAGATAAAGTATGTTCCTCAAGGGTACAACAGCAGTGTGACATTTGAACTTCACAGCAGTCTTCCAGTTTTAAGTCCAGAACCCTAACTGCTTCTCTACAATGCTGCCCTGAAGACATAACACTAAAAACACAGTGTTTAAATGATATGCTTTTATATGCTGTATATCCTTACATTGTCCATTTCATTGCTTGTCCATATTGCCGCTTCCTCTCATTTGTATCCTTTCTTTCATTTTTTAAATGTGACCCATTCTGTGTATTTTTAAATAAAATCTAAAATGGTTAATTAAAGTGATAAGAAATTACAAAAAGCTGAGACACTTTACATTTAATGACAAGTACAGTGCAGCAGGCATTATCTCTAAAGTTTGAACAACACAATAGAAAAAATAGATTTTGGAAATGAAAGTAAATCTGTACATACAAATACTGCATTTCAGCTGTTAATGCAACATATATTCACATTATAAACCTGGTTCAGTAAAGTTTCTGTTCAGTGTAGTTGTAGTTTCTATTTGTTAAATAATAAAATATAATACAATTTAAAATTTTAAAATGCACTGAAGCAAGAGAGAGATGTTAAGTGCCTTATCATCAAAACTTAAAAGTTTTGCACAAAACACTATTTGTGGCCAGATTTGTTTTAAAATAATGATACGTGATGTCAAATTTCAGAAGAATAAAACCTTAAGAACTTTTGTTTTTGAGTCATTTGCAATGTATTCATCTAAATGAATACAAACCTCAGAAACGTTGAGGAGAGAGAAGTCTTTGTGAGCTTTTTTGATATGGATTGATGGGGGCTTCTACTGGTGATCAAATGAGTAGGATGACTTGCACCATCTTATTTGTGACCTTTCCTACATTTTTAATAACCCATGCTATTGTGTTTAGCAGTTTCAGATAGAAGGAACACCACAAAATTCATTTTAGGGTCAGACTTATGTTTAAAATAAAAAATCAATTATCTTTGTTTTGCTTTTCAGGAGCTATAAAATGAAACTCTAACACAGGCATCCAAATGACTCCTTACAAAACTAGAAAATGCAGCCTTATACTGTATGATTCTGGGCTATGCAAATACTTTTCTAAGAGTTCAGAATGTTTTTGACCAGCTGGTATGCTCCCTTTGTTTAATGACCTACAGTATATTATGAATTAAGGGCAATAAAAGGGCCTAGTATTTAAGTGACAAAATGCAATGATTTTATTGCACTTGTCACTGTCTAGAGTCTTCAGGCTCTTCTTACATGCTTGTCTCGCGCTCCACCACTTCCTCTTTATTGGATGTTCCAATGGGCGATACTTTCTGGTTGTGCATATTGTCCCCCTGTCCATTTGCGTTGCCATCATTCTTCCCATTTTTCTTTACTGTGTCTTGTCGGTGTCTTCTTGAGAGTTTGGCATACAGCGTACCCCACAGGATATATGATAGTGAGTACAGTCCATAAATCAGTCCAAGGTACACAACTCTGTAGGAACAGATGGCAGAACATTGATTTGGCACTGACTGAGTCCTTATCTCCTCTATCATGATCATCCTTTAGTTGCATTGAATGAAATACATTTTAATAATTGATAATGAGCCAACAAATTCTTAACATTTAAGTATACGGCTATTATTCCATGACCATTCATATCTACATGCAATACCAAGAAAAGGTTTGTGAACCCTGGTCCATATTCTCATAGATTTAAGCCTTAAGCTTAATTAGATCTCCTAAGAGTCTTAAACATGGAGATAACCCATGTCTACAGGTTTCCATTTCAACTTAGCTCATTTGAGATAGACCTGCTGATTGGAAATCAGTGCTTGATCTATACCACAAAAATAATTTCTCATTGTAGTCAAACAGTTCATCATTTGACTTGACTGTCTAGAAAACATTCTTCCAGTAGTCTTTTGTATATTCCACATTCTCTTTTGCAAACTGAGATGTTTTCTAATTACTGTAGAGTACCTACACCTTCCTAAGAACCAAACAAGCAGATCTACAACAGAATGGACTGGGAAGAATTTTCTTTCATTTTTGGAAAACCTTGGATTGGTCAAGTCACAGTCTTGGAAGAAAGATCTAAAATGTGAAAAAGGGGTTAACTGATTTCTTTCTGCAGAAAGACTTCTTGTGACACAACACATTCCATGCATAAGCACTTTTGAGTTATGGCAGGGATGGGAGTTAACTGATAAGAGATTCCAATTGCAAGACAGAGACTCCCTAACTAAGGAAAGATAAAACCGGCCATTCAAAGTGGTCAAGATTTAGGGAATGTCGAAACACAGGTGACCTCCCCCCATTACCATGGTAACAATTTGCATCAGAGACAGTTGAAGTTTGCTAAATAAACTGGAAGTTCTGTACCTATATTCAGAACAATACATTGATCTTATTGTTTCTTGCATACGATTAAGTCAGGTGTTTAAACTTCATCTCGGGATCCAGAACTTATTTGTCTATTACAACAGGCTTGACCTAAATCCCATCGAAATTTAGTGGCAGTACCTGAAATGAGCTGTTCATACAGCCCTAATATCACAGACCTGAAGCAGTTCGAACCTGAAATGGACCAAATGTCCTAAAAGTTGATATAAAAGAATAGTAAATAGTTACAGGAAATGTCTACTTGAAATCATTAGTGTTCAAGGGAATGACATCAATTACAGAATCTAATGATTTCAAGTAGACATTTCCTGTAAAAATCTTGAAAAATGCCCCTTTTATCAAGAAAACAACACCTTCTCTCTATCAATTTATCTGAGGGTAGACTACGGTATATTAGTGCAGGTCACTCACTGTCTGGGGTTTTCACAACCACTAATTTCTATCCTGGTTAAATTGATTCAGCAAAACACAGCCTGCAAAAAACAGGCCAAGAATCAGGGAAACCAGATCCAAGATACATGGGGAAGTTATGTTCTGGCAAAGGCCATCTAATCACCAGTGAGCTTCATTGTACCACAACCCGAGTGACCTGACATAGTACTAGATTGATCAAGTCCTGGAACCTCACTACCTTCCCTTCCTGTAAGCAATTCCTGATGTACCAACACTTGAGCAGGACAACTTATGTCCTCATGCTGCTTGTGTAACAAAAGATTACTGTGAAATAAGACTGTGACATTTGTGTCAAGGACGTACTTCTTGCGAGACTTAAGCCCCATTGAACATTTGTGGGATGAGCAGCATAATAATGTGTGGCATCTAGGGTTCAGATACCAGTGACAACATGCAGGCTTGTCCAGTATTGTGGGAAATCCTTCATCAAGGGAGCAGGGCACAGTCTTGTGCAGTTTCGGTTTTATTGAGCTCAATAAGCAACGCGCGCTGGGTCTGCCTGGCAGAACAGACATACTGCAAGGGGTTCCCAACACTTATATAGGTTCAGAAAGAAATTTGTTTCACAATCTGAGTGATTGTCCTGTTTATGGGTGTTGGTCCTGTCTTTTGTTTTGTAGTCACTGGAGCAGCTAAAGCTAAAGTCAGCTTTATCGCATCTTAGTGTTGTCACGCCCTCTGCAGCCAGAGGGCGCTCCTTCTCTGTCCTGTCCCTAGTTTCCGGTCTGCTGTCCTTCCGGTCCCTCTCTTTCCATTGGGCTATATATTTCCGGGTCTTGCACGTCAATGCTGTCCTGGCTCAGCATTGACGTTTGGATGTCCTGAGACCCGCCTAGCACCAGGGTGCCCCACGTCCTCTCCCTGAGGGCATAGGTTTCTATACGGCATTCCTGAACTCTTTGCACTAATGAGCCCGGGCCTTTTTCCCGTCTCGCCGCTACGCATATGGGTCTTTTTCCGCTCTCCTGCTCCCCACGGTTAGTCCCTTTGGACGTCCGTGAGAAACGTAACCTGTTGGCAAGTACAGCTTAATGCTCACTGGGAAGTGTTAATATGTGGCTCAGAAGCCATATTTTCCATGAACAGCCATGGCTAAATCCCAGCTAGAGCAAAGCCACCCTGGTCACAGTTGCACTACAATTTGATTGCTCAAATAGCTCAAGTAGGCAGCTGCGTCAGCATGCGTAGGCTGCAAAGGAACAAGTAAAGGTTTATTCTATACTGAAAAGAGATGAAAGGAAACAACGTTTCGGCTGTGGAGCCTTCTTCGGGTGACTTTTTTTTTCTTCTCTTTTCAGCATAGAACAAACCTTTACTTGTTCTTTTGAAATTTGACTGCTGAGTCTTGAGACAGGTCAGTCTATTACCATGGAAAGAGGAGATCTCCCTCCTCATGAGAAGGAAGCTGATAGTGATTGACCGGTTCCTCGTTGTACCAGTGTGGGGAAACATTGAACTGCTTTTGTCACTTGGGTGGCAATTACTGGACACCTTTTGTATTTAATAATGGTAATGTAATAAATCTATTTTGATGAATCCCGGAAAGCCGGATGAATTGCACGTATATATATTCAGCTTTTAACGACGCACATTCACCACATAAAAATGAAAAGCATTTTTTTCATTATCTGGTTCTTATACAGAAGATGCTAATTTTCTTTTATAAGGATTATAAATGTCACCTGAATGCATCTGAATCATATAGTCGGCAGGCCCCACGACCCCCACACCGTTTGGAGCCCCACTTCAAACAGGTCCTGTCAATAAGAGCCCCAAAATATATAGGGGCAGGAATTCCACCTGAAAGCACATTAATAAAAGACAACTTTACATAAGCAATTATTTACATTACTATAATATTACCTGGAAGAAGCTTATCACTCTGGAAATTGTCTTACCTATAACATTATTTACTCATTACTGTTAACAAAGCAAGAATGCCAATTAAATAACTCTTATTCTGTAACCATAATATAAAAATCATGTGGTGAGAAAACCAAATTAATGATATTGAAACTAGTCTGTATTCAGAATCCTTTATGATGCAGGTAAAGAGAAGAAAAGAACTCAACGTTTCAGCTTTGGAGCCTTCTTCAGGTGTCAATTTGTTGTTATCTATACAGCAAATAGGGCATATACCGGAGTAATTCAGGTGGAGTACCTAAAGTTGTTAATGGGTGCAGCTTTTCAGCTGGGATTTAAGCCAGTTTAGAGTTTTAGAGGCCAAATTTTAGAGGTTGTACACTATTTCAAATACAGAACTTTGTCCTACCGCTGTAGGGGAATGAAACCTTGGTCTCTGTGACAGGAAGGAATAGGTGCTACTATACTAACAAAGAAGAGCTTACAGTATACCCACATATACTATATATGTATTACTGTTCTGGTATACCCATTATCAATCATTACAATTCATCACAGTTCTAGCATACTTCATTATTAATTCTCATCAGGCCCTGCACTGTTTCATCAGCCACACATTAGCTCAACGGCTTGTCCATTTTAATAAGATGTTTTAAAAGCCTCATCCACATGACCATTATTTCAACCAGGTGAGTTAAGACAATAAAGGGGAACAAATTCAAATTATGCCTCCACATTATCTGCATTGTAGTTCGGTGTAACTACTGAATTATTTAATAATGCTAATAATCTGTTCTTACCTAGAGTTCTTACAAACAAAGTCTGGATTCCCAGGGCTAGTGATTTCAGTTCTGGCTTAATGGACCTTAAGAAAGCACAGTGAAAATGTATTAACAGATGAAGAATGATTAAATACGATTTATAAAATACTAAATGTACAACCATGAGCTTTCCACTCATTTTTCTTCAATTAATTATTTATATTATTTAAAAGCCAGGTCATAAATGCCTGAACTGATGTAATTATATGAAGTCAGTTCTCTAAACAGCAATACAGCACAACAAACCATAAACTCATTTTTGAAATAATACATTACCTGAGCAGTATAATGTACCCAGGAGTGGCTCCACAGGCTGATATATATGCACCAATGACTGAAAATATCATGTAGTACTTAAACATGCTCTCACAGTCGTTTGGTCTGGGGCACTGTCCCAGGATAGCCGATGTGTTCTCAGACTGTAGAGGGCCAGCTTCAAGGCAGCTGCAGTTATGGAAAACCTAATGAAATTAAAACCCACACCCCCAGAAAAGAAAGATATAGTAGATATATAGTACCATGCAGTGGGATATTTAAATATGGTATGCATGAACAATGTTCTAAAAATGTCTCATTATTACAAGTTAATCTAAAAGACTCCAGATCATTTTCTCTTTGCAGTCAATAATGGATCTGAAACCACATAATGAAACCAATGAACTATAAATCTACCACAAAGAAGGAAAAAATTCAAGAGCTAAGAATTACGTTCACAGCTCGGTGCTAAGCACATAAATAAAATCAGCCACATTTAAAGTTCCTTAAAAGATTTCTTTCAAGCCATTAGCTCATGGCCCTGATATTCAAGAAGTAAGATACATGTTTTCACTACTGTTGTTACATTGCAATAGGTCAAAGTGGAGCTTGGATTCTACCTTTTCCTTAAATGAAGGGAGAGGAGAATCAGAATGCTAATGTTGGTGAGAGATACTACAGTTCCTCCTGCCCGCGTGAGAAACCCATCTCCTTTCAAGGAACTGGTGGAAAACAAGAGGACCCATTCTTCCCCTGGTCATGGAGTTCAGGGAATCTTGCATGTGGCACATGCCTTTTGTCTATATTGCCTAATTTTTATGGTTAAATAGAATTGTACACCATGTACTGATAAGGCTAAGGTCAAGTTGTTAATAAATCCATCCTGAGAGTCCATGCAGGGCTTTACTTTGGTTGAAATAAGAATGGAAAAAAAACTAACCAGCTGTTTCCCTGCCCCAGTTGATGTTTTGCACCCAGCAAGACAGGGAGATGCAAATGTCACACCATGGTCAGTACAGACAGGATCCCAGATCTTCAGAGAGCAGGTGCATCCCAGGTTGCACTGGGACAACAGACTGTTCTCCTGGTATGACACTTGTTTCACTCTTAGATTGAACAAAATGGATAAGTTAATTTGAGATATATTAACTGAAGTGATTGGTTAGAAATGATTAAATGAAAAATGATGACTAGAGCATTAGAACATACGTTGCTATGACATGAAAGTGCTTTTTTTTAGCTAAATCATTCATGCACAGTCATGTATTGCTTAAGGAAATGATCATTGACAGTGAAAGCCAACAGCAGAGATGTCAGTCATACCTGGATACATAAATCAAATATGAATGTGAGCACTTTGCTTTTCAGAGCTCATCACTAAAATAAACACTACAGTTTCTAAATTTGACTCTATTTTTACAAGTAGCAATAGTAACTTTATGACAATGTCTCATGTACAGCAGTAATTGAAAGGAAGCTACCGAATATGCCTTTCTAACAACTAAGTGTTAAAATATAAAACAAACTAGAAAAAAGCCCACCCAGGGTCTCCAAATACATTAGCCTAATAGCATAGTTTTTAGCTGAAACAAATAGCTAGCCTCCAGGACAGAGGCAGAGATCTCACCCTGTATTCAAAATTGTATAGAATTTATATAGATTTTATAGAGTTTATAGAATAAGACCATAAGGTCTTGATGACACTCCATACAGTTTATACTGAATGTTAATGTTTATAGAATAACAGTGCTATACCCTTCATATGAGACTGTCAATCCAGCCACTTGTGTGTTCTCACAGCTCAGTCCATAATATATTAGGAGGATGAGGAAGGATGTAAAGGATGCTCCAATTGTTATTCTTGCTGCACCAATCACACTCAGCTTGAACCTTTTCAGGATAAATCCACCAGTGATAATTCCAAGTGCAACAGCCGGCAAATTCAGGATGCCTGGAAAAAAAAGAGATTTAATGGCGTTGTCACATGAAATCTTAAAATATCCCTTTTAACATTTAAAATCCAAAAATATATATTTGTATTAATGTATTGTATGCGTTTCTTGTCTCCTGTTTTTCTGTATATAAAAGCATGACATGGATTGTGCTGCAGGCAAATGTAACAGATAGAGGATAAGACATTGTGTACAATAGTTTTTTTATGAACCTGAACTGTAAAAGACTGATCTATATAAGGAGATTTTATCAGAGCAAGGAGAGGATTGTTTAATGAACAAATAACTTCATGATAAATACTGCTGCAATTATGTGGTGAGAAACATAGGGATTTTACAAGGCAATAAATCATTGCAAAAGCACAACATACCTATTAAGAAAATGGCCTTGGAGGCAGACTGACCATAGATCTGCTCCATATACTTGGGCTTAAAAGTAATCATTCCCATGAAACTGTTGACTTGGACTATGGACACACACAGCAACAAGACAAACACAGAATTGCAGAAGAGCCGTTTCAATGAGGGCAGAAAATCTAGAGAGTAAAGAAATGGAAATGTTAAAATCACTATGAGCAGCACAAACAAACATAAATCTTCTAAATCCATCGTATGTTTTCAGGTGTGTTGGATATCCTTTTCATTGAAAAAAAGCAGTAGAAGCTATATGGGCTTTGAAACCGGTGTTAAATGGATAAGTCAATAAGTACAGCTGGTTTAACTGATTATTGTAAGAAATTAATTCAAATCCCAAATCAACTCTACATGGAACCTTGCATTGATGGCTGAAATGTAATTAATGAAATGCTTGTGATAGTAGAGAAGCACATGGCTGAAAGGAAATCAATGTGCTGATATCTCCATATTGTTGGTAATAAAACAATGCCCCATGTCAACAAAGACAGCTTCTAATGCTGATATAAATACTAGTGTAATTAGAGATACATCAGTGTTTTGAAACAGTGACTGATATTGAATGCTACTGAAAAAGACACACAAAAAGTAGTTATCCTGCACATCACAGCATGGCTGCGGTGAAAAAAATCACATCACAACATGTAGCAGAAGATGCAACGTCATCTAACAAGAAAAACAAAATAAGAAGGATTTACAAAAAAAAAACAATGTGGCAGGTGTTAGTGACACTTCCTGTTTTTCTGTTTATAAAATAATGTTGACCATTTTCTTAAAAATAGTTGATTGATAAAAGTAAAGAGGATGTTGCACCTTTTTAATTTCCATTTCTCTCTTACTTGTAGAACCTCTATAACTGCAAAAATGTAAAAGGATGTTTACTAGATAAGAATGAGATGTCCAGAAATCCTGTTGTCTAAATACATTTTCAAAATCAATTCCTTCAGAATGATTTAGTTTTTGGCCTTTTATTAAACGTGGCTGTGAACTTGCCAGAGCTTGTTGTGCTAGTGACGATTAAAGTTAGGATTAGGAAAGACTGCATTACTGTTCATAAAGGTGAATTGTACTGCCGAAGGTATCAGTAACTACTTGTTGTAAACTTGAGAAGATAATCTTTCATTTTGTTTCTTTTTTTTGTTTTAACTTTTAAAAGCCAAAAGCTAAAATGATTTTTTTCAAGGAGAATGTTGTAAGTGAGATAAGACCTAGATAAATGTGTGATTATTTCAGTTAACAAAATTGAGTCATGATGTTAATGATAAACTGCAATGATTACAGTGAAAAGGTTGTGGGGCAGAAATGAAGAGAACTGACATAAAAAGCGTGCTAGACAAAGTCATTTTTCTGGAGGGATGTTGTTACTTTGTGATTATGCTCTGCAGTGCAGATAGGTGGTAAATGTGCACTTTCATTTTTTTATACTGAAAGATTCCCTCTAATGCCAAACCTGTGATTTGAGCTTGAAGTGTTTTCAGAAACAAACTTTTTGCCGTGTTCACTCAAGTTATTTTGTGTACCCTGTTAATAAAGCTATGAGAACTCATAACTTCATGTGCTCATCCTTTTTTTATCCAGTGCATATGTATTCCATACATAGAAATATGGATATCCCTTAGTCACTTTAAGAGTTAGGGTGAGATGTATAGTTTTTAGGGAGTGATTAAATTAGCTGCCTGATTTGTATAGCCTTGTGTTAAACCATTTCATACCATTTAACGGAATTTTGAGTGATTATCTTTTTAGAGGCCTTCAGGAGGAGAAAAAGATAGCCCCATACTGTTAAACACTTACTCATTACTCTAATGCCATCATGCAGCATTGTCATCTCGCGGGAACACTCGGACACTTGCCTTTAGCCATTTCAGAAATCGTGACAGCTTGGGGTTTCTCAGCGCTAGGTTCCCTTTTGATTTCCTGTATAAATGTGGCCTGTTCCGGCGACGGGCCGTTACTGCTCTCGGTCTTTCCCTGCTTCGGAAGGGATCTGGGCAGGAACCAGAATGGAATGCCAGCCAGGAGTGCCGCCACTCCAGTCACCAGGAACCCAAGCCACCAGGCCCCCACCCACCGAGAGTCCTTGGGGTGGATTGTCAAACTGTCTGTGGGGGGGAGGACAGCATGCCCTTGAGTTACTGCTGATTTTCATCTTGATTAATTGACAAATTTGGGAAATCACAGATGTCGGTATGCACATACTGCTTTAGTTTAGAAGATTAAATTTAATGTTCAAGTGAGCATGAATTCTACCACGTCCTTTGAAGTAAGCCAAACTTGAACTTAAAACTGCACTTGACTGTAGTTGTACTATTTGATAATCGCCATGTTATTTTGCACTGTTCGCCGTATTATTTTATAATACGTATTACTTCAGCACACACTTAAAAAGACAGACACCAGCTACTGGCGAACAAACAGAACACTGGCCAAAGTAAGTGAGCAGCTTTCTCAGGACACAAGTTTTAGAAATGTTTCAAAAAGAAAAATCACAGAAGTCACAGCACTGAAAAGTACTGCAAAGCAATCACTTATCTGTCTATACTATATTTCGTACTGTATTTCTAAATATAAGGCTGCTAACAGATTAGCTAATAATGGATTTGAAGGAGTGTTTCAATAATACTTTCAGTAAATGCTTGGTATTAGTTTTTCTAAAATGTTTTATTGCTAAACTGCAGTGTATTTTTCTTTTTCATTTTATTTAAATTTCATTATGTTATTTTTTTTTTAGCTTTAGGCAGCAGGGAATTTGTAACTTTCAATATATTGCAATATTATTATGTATCAAAATATTCCCAAAATAATAAATTCCTTACACTAAGAAAATTCCATGTGCTCCCCTGTAGGAACATAAGTTACAAATAAAATTTGGTCATTCAGACCATCTAGCCTATCTGATATTTAAGAGCTAACTGATCCAAAGTGTTCAGTAATTTAAAAAAAAAGCCAAGGTATCTGCATCAACAACAAGGCTAGATGGCTTGTTCCGGATTCCAATAGCTTGTTAATTGGTGATGCAGAATGAAGGTGAAATATACATACCTAAGTCAACAGATCCAATGTCCACATACATCTTGGCACAAAGGGATCCCAGGAGAAACCCAAACATGGGACCCATTATTCCAACTGTCTGCACACAAGCTGCAAAAAACAGCCAATTCAAATTTTATTGTACAAGGGCTCCTCAATTACTTTACAATGACAGTCTATCTTGTGTATAAAGGGAAAACATGTTTTTGGTAATTAAATATGTGAGAGAATGAGCAGTTAACAGAAACAGAGTGAAATACAATATCTGTGTTTCAATAAATAACAAGACTTCTTATGACCAAAAAGGAGTTACATTGCTAAAAGGAGAACTATAATGCTATTGTCTGTTTTGTTATGAGACCACAGTCCCACCTGTCCATGGTAGTAAAATATACTGTATCAGGTGGCTGGCCTTTTACAAATATGGTCAGGAACACTGTAGGTGCACATTAGGATTCAGGTTTGTCTTGTGATGAAGGGTATGCAAACAGGAAACAGGTGTTTATGTGGAGAAATGTCTTCAGGAGTGGCCAAGTAAATGTCTAAAATGAACATTAACCTGGGTTCCAAACCCAGGAAGGCATGATTATGGGAACCTGCTCTCATTGCAATGAACTCAAAATATCCATGTGTGCCTTACACGACATTACCCACAGTGCAATACAGGGTCCAACAAAATGTGCATCCTGCTGGGTCTGAAACAATGTAGCAGTGATGACAAAGAATGCAAATCCTCCTTGATGAGGCTCTCAGTGTAATATTCGACACTGTGTGCATGGTCTGATACAGGTCCTGCAGTGCATGGTGAAGGGTAGAGTACATGGTGAAGTTATCTTGCAGCCAATGGCACTTGGTGCTGATGCTAGTAGCTTGGCTATGCCTTCAGTATGAATAAATGCATTGCCTTTTGTAATGCTTATTGATGCACCCTTTGGTATTTGTAAATATTTACTATGTACACATTTTTTTCACTTAGCAAGGTATGTGTGTTACTTACCAATGTAGAAAGCAGTGTTTTCTTCCTGAGAAAAGTCATCCAAATAAGATAATCCTAAAGGCATAATGGGTGTTTCTCCAATACCTCTTAGCATATTACCCAGGAAAACATAAATCCACATAGATGAACCAACCTCTTGCTCACACTCTACAGGAAAACAGAAGAAACAGGCATTGGAGCTCGGGAAACTTTTCAGTAATGACATTGCTGAATCCTTTAAAAGTTTTTAATTGGTCACATGTTTTCTACTGCACTTTAATTGATACGCTATGGTTTCTGTTATGAGGTTATGAGAATTTCCCACCCTTCTTTTATGACAATACCTAACGTCAGCTAAGTTATTTTATATTCTGGCATGAGAAATAAAAGTATACATTTCATATTAATGTTAAAATAATACTTTTACAAAATTATTGAGTTGTGAAACATATATTAAGTTAATACTTTTTGCACTGTATAAAAAAGAGTGACACAGTACACAGTGGAAGTTTACACATTCTTTTAAAATTTCTTCACTGTGAAATATTAAAAGATTCTACCGCTTGAAAAATGTTTAAGGGTGCTTTAAAGATAATACAGCCATTATATAAATCAGTTACATAAAAATGAATAATTAATAATCAGTATACTCTAAGTGAACTCAGGGTTTTGTTAGCACAATTAGGGAGGTAATTAAAACAAGGTAGTTAATTAATTTGGTAACAAGTAAAGATGAACGAGTTTGGGCAGCCCTGTTCTATTCAGAGAATTCTTGTGAGTGTTCTATTCTTGTGAGTTTGTGTACCACACAGGTTAGCTGACATAGATCTTGCCCTGATCAAAAGAGATTTCAGAGGAGCTCAGAAAAAGAGTCAGTCAGGGGAGGGTTACAAAAGTTTTTTTAAACTTTTGAGGTGCCATCCATCCAATTTGAGATGGACAGTAAGCATTCAAGAGAACACTTTCAGCTCTCCCAAAAAGCAACTCAGAAAATCATCCAGGAAGTCATAGATAACCCCGGAATGACATCTAAGGATCTGCAGTGGCTAATGTCAGTATTCATTTCTCAACCATCAGGGTGAATAGGAATGGTGTTCATGGGAAGATAGCCAGGAAGAAACTGTCACTTTAATTAAAAAAACATCACTTGCCACCTTAGGTTCATACAAAGAGCACCGTGATGATACACCAGACTACTGGAAGAATGTTCGCTGGACACACAAGTAAGTTGTTTAATACAATGAGTTATGTTTTGCATGGCAAAAACCTAATACTGCCTTGCACAGAAAATAACTCATCTGGGCTGTCAAGCATGGTGATAGAAGCTGGTTTGTGGGGTGCTTTGCTGTTTTGCTTTCATCATTGACAGAGCCATAAATTTCACAATTTATCAGCAATTACTGTAGGAGAATTCCAGACCATCCTTTAGTCAGCTGAAGCTGAAAAAAGCTGAAAGTGGGTCAAGTAGCAAGATGATGATCCTAAATGTTGGTACAGATACTGTATACAACAGAATGGCTGAAGAAGAAATATCACATCTGGGATCAAAGTCCAGACCTACTGTAAAACTCATTGAAATACTGTGACAGGACCTGAAGCAAGTTAATCATACAAGGAAACCCTCAAATGCCACTGACTGGAGGCAGTTCTGTAAGGACGGATGCACCAAAATTCATAAAAGAGAAGTTAAGAGATTTATATACAATCCCAGTAAACAGCTAGTTGATGCTACACTCGTTCACACTGGGACATTTACTCATTTTGTAAAATAATCCAAATATAACTTATGTGTTTGTGTTATACATTTAATTAAATGATATTCAAGATAATAATGTATATTAGATAAGATAATTCATAACATAAGAGGTTTAGAAATGCAACAATGCTATGCTATATGTTTCAATACTCTATTGCTGTAATTTAGCCAGTGATATCTGGATAACTTAAGATTGATTTAAGAAATATAGTTGTCCGTATGACATACAACATATGATGGAAATATGATCCACTTTGATCGAGCAATATAAAGTTTGTACCTGCTTTTGGACCATCAGGAGAGCTGGTATCCTTTATAGTATTACTTTGGTTGGCAAGGCAAGGAGATGTGTTCACAGTTAAATTGGAAGAATGTTCAATGGATGTTTCGTACTGATAACTGTTGGAAAAAATAATAATAATAGCTGTTGAAGATTATGCTGCTGTTGTGGAATAGACAAATCAATCTTCAAGTGGAATAATGGGACTACCCAGGAGACAAAGCAACATACATCTTATATTATATATTTTATACGAGTAATGTCTTCAGTTTTAGTTACACTGAATTTGACGTAAGAGAAGGTTAATGTGGTTAAGTCTCTCAGTAGACAGCTATCATAAGAACATTAATTATCTTGGAAGGATCTGTAATTGTTTCAAGCATGATAATAGTTTCTAGATATGGAGGATATGATTGAATAGAATTATGGAATAACCTTCCATAACATATAATCGATGTTACGGAAGGTATTATTAAACAGTTCTTGCCAGATCCAGGTACTCCCTCCTTTTACCATTGTAAATGGCATGAGCTGTCTGCTTAAAAGTTATGCTGGATAAACTATTTTAAATTAATTTAATAAACTTCACTCATTGTGAAATATAGTCCTTGTTCTAGTTTTTCTCAATAGAGGTTTATTCAATTTTTAAGAGGGACAACAACATTCGAGAATTAGATGCTTAGTGAATTTTTGGATTACTTTGTGGAGTAGGTTTGGCGCACCTCCTTAATGGCCAGCCTCCTTGGCATTTGATGAGGAGGCTCAAACTCCAAAAGTAAGAAAAATAAATCTCAAAACCATCAGTTCAGAAACAAAAATGGTAGGAAGGAAGGTGATGATTGAATGATTATGTCAAAATCTGTAGAAAAGCTTGCTTCAACACTTTGGGGTTGGAATAGACGTATGCGTGGTACTGTATGCTACTGTAGATCAGTGACCACGTGTCTTAATTAGACGGTCAGGGATACCACGGGGAGCTGCTGGGGAGGCAGAGCTGATGATTACTGAAAATTCTCCTGAGTTTCCAGATTGTGTCCAAAGTTTCCCATAGGTGAAAGAAAAAACAGCTACAAGATACTATAAAGCTTTTCTTGTTATCAAAAAGGGCTGGTGAAGGAGGCATCTTGGGCACCTTGGGAAATGCAGAGCTGGAGAGGTGCTACTTACTGTCCCATGAAGAAATGAGGAAGTGCAGTACAGAAGGAGCCCAGAGCCATCAGCAGACAGCCTGCACCAATCAGCCTGGGACGATGGAGCTTGGCACCAAAGTAACTCACAAAGGCTATGACCAGTAGATTACCTGCAACAGCAAACACAAAGGAACAGTGCTGTCTCTTCGATTATTCCATTTTCGCAATTCACTTTTTTATTAAATCCGTTTGCAACAAACAAAATGTGTTTTTTTTTTCAGGAGCAAAAGATATCAGAACTCATTACCCATTTCAAAGCTCCCATCTATCACTCCTATCAAAGAGCTGGGGATGTCAAAGCGTCTCTCTATCTGCGTGATTGAGCTCTTCATATAGCTTCCTTGAAAAGCTTTGGCAAAGTAGACAAAAGACAGGGATACTAGGAACATCTGTGGAAAAAACAGAAGAAGGTCATTGGAACTTTCATCCGAAGTGTGGCATTACACAGGGGTGTGTTCAGTGTGGAGTCAGAGCCCTGGATTAAGGATGACACGTTAGCAACCACAGCTGACCTAGCTAATTAGCAGTGGGGGCCATTTAAGACACACGGAGCAAGAGCACACCCCTACAAGGGGATAACCTTCCCGCAACAGTCCCAGTGGGGATTGTGACGAGAGCGTTTGAGACCAAGTTTTCCCTTTGTTTTATTTTCTTTTTCTTTTTTCCTGTCCCGCCATGTACAGTATCTCTCACTGGGAAAGATTGAGCTCTTTTGTTTTGGTCTCATGTTCATTTTCTTCCAGTTTGGATCCCACTAAATAGGGATAATCCAGACTAGATACCGCTGTCCCGAGCAGTTCTTTTTCCCCAGGCTGGACCTTGCTAAATAGGGACAGTCCAGCCTGGATACCGCTGTGCAAAACAGCGCATTTTCCTTTTTCTTTTTTGTTTTTCCCCTTTTTCGATTTTCGCCAACCTCACACCAGTGCCTCCACCCCCTCAGATGGAGCGTCGACTTTCACTGGGGTTTGCCTCAGCTCCTCCCACTCCCACACTGTCACAGAAGGTCATCACACAAGACTAGACTGTGTGTGAGAGAGTGTGCTTGTGGATGTCTGCTACTTTTAATTGTCTTCTTACTTTCTTTGTTTTCGGCAGGGAAAATTACGTATTAGCTGTTTGGTAACACAGAAGAAGATGGCATAGGTATCAGGCATGATGAGATAAGACAGAGCCTGTCAGATGAAAAGATATTGGAAATGTTTTAAAATATTTTGTATCAGTTTTACGTAGTCTAAATGTCTAGATAAATTCTAATTACTCAAATTAATATACAGTAATGCAAATGAAAGCAGGATATTAGGTCAGTCTTGCTCATTCAAGAGTTTTCTCAGTTGACCTGGATGCTGCTGGAAGGAGCCTGGAGTTTAGGCATCTTTCACCCAGATGCCTTAAACTATCGGTTTAAAGGCAACTTTCCTAATCTCTGTCCTCAATTTAATTTTCCATTTAAAAAATACTACCCAGGTTTGATGAATTATGGAAAAAACAATCCCACCCATCCCATTAAGAGACATTGTATTTCTCCCC